AATGTCACTTTCCACACTCGTAATGTAATATACGATATCATATCTTCATAGCCAACAATATTACTAAAAAAATAAAAATTTTCCACTTTTTTTAAATTTCTTCACTACGGTCTATTTTAGACACCCACATGGATATTATCAATTTTGCGCAGACTTCAGAAAGAAAAAGTAAGCCATTGCGAATATAATTCCATATCCATTTTAATAAGAACACTGTACGGATATGAAATCCAACAATCACATTTCATATTTGGTCACCAAGCTATTATATTTTTTAGTTGTTAGGATAATTAAAAATCTGATGTGTCCAACACATGACTTTCCTATCTAGCTATTTATTTTGTACAACCTATTGCAGCACCTCTATAAATGTTTAGAAGATAAACATTTTACACATTCATCTACCTCGAAACATTTTTCTATATATATTCATTGAAAACGAAAATACTGAAAAATTTAAATTTAGCACTTTTCCTACAATTTTTCTATTACGGTCCATTTTAGAAAAATCATGTATAAACAAAAATTATACAGATCGATATCGATACCGTATTCGAGATTTGAGAAAATGTGTAAATTTCGAATTTTGAAGAAAACTCAAAAACTGATAAAGGGAAAAACATTAAATTTTAAACTTAAGTTTCATTTCGGCCTGACGTGAAATGATTAGATTTTGGACAAAATCGGAACATCTGGGGGGGTACTTTATGGGAGGCCGCTCTTATATTTTATGGAATATATCTGTTATTTATGTTTGGAGAAGAAAATTGTTTAAAAGTTACTTCTAATATTATTATCTATAATTTTTGTTCTATGTCAAATTTTTCTGAAATGGTCCGTATTCGAGAAATTTGACAAAATGTGCAAAATTCTGATTTTTAGGAAAATTGTTAAACTAAAAGTTATTTGCGATATCAATCTCTATAATTTTTGTTTATACATGATTTTTCTAAAATGGACCATAATGAAAAAATTGGAGGAAAAGTGCTAAATTTAAATTTTTCAGTATTTTCGTTTTCAATGAATACCTATAGAAAAATGTTTCGAGGTAGATGTATGTGGAAAATGTATATATTTAGTTTATCCTCTAAAAATTTATAGAGGTGCTGCAATAGGTTGTACAAAATAACCGGAAAAAGCTTATAACTAGATAGGAAAGTCATGTGTTGGACACATCAGATTTTTATACTTGCAAGAAAGAGGGACTTATTATTAATTTTCATACTGCTGAATTTTCCGTGAAATTAACTTTCAAATAAGTTAACACATGACTTCTGTTTCTATTTAAAAAAAATCATCGATTACGTCATCAGTCAAATAAAGGTGACGTAATCTCTTTCACAAGTTCGTCAAAGAATGGGCATTTAAAAAAAACACGTGTTTCAGAATTTTTCGCAAAAGTCGGTTATTTTTGAAAAATCAAGTTATTTCTTACTTTTACATCATACTGTATAATTTAAAGTATAGTAGATACTAAATATTTTTGATATCTAGCGTATAAAAAAGTATAAAAGTATAAAATACTTCTTGCAATTGTGTACAAATCACTGTCTTTGGGAGTGAGTGGTGAGTTTAAAACGAGTTTAATTATTCATATGATAAAGTTTTATACCTCGTACCTCAAAAAATGATCATAGTATAACTTTATTAACAGTCTCAAAAATGAAGTAAATGTATAAAATCACGAAATTTTTAAGTATGAGGGAGACATGGAAACGCATTTTTCCTTGTTTTTGTCGTATCATATCTTTTGAATCATACTTATTTTAAAATGGTTTAAGTTCTATTATTAATAGGGGATATAAAGTGGGTAGAATTTTTTTAAAAACAGATTACAGGGTCTACCAACTTTTTGACTCACCCTGTATCTTTCGAATAGGATTTAACTTAATAACTAATAATAAAAGTATATTTTTCCCGAAGTCGTAATGGGAATCTGATTTTCGTCAAAATAAGTTGCGGCCGTAGTGACACGGTTTCAGGTAGTTTTCATTGCCACGAGACTGCTACACTTTAATACAGACGGTGCAAAAATATGTTAAATCTTCTTCAACTCGTGCTATATTATTTAATCAGAATGTAGAAAATAAATGACTGTAAGTTTATGTAACGCCATTAAATTCTATTAATTGCAATTTATTTCTATTCATAAAAATATCATTGCTAGGAAATGTCTCGTAAATAAAACAATATGACGACCTTGGCAATTTTAACTGATGATTGGTTTTGATTACAATTTTAATGACATTTAATATTTAGTTTTGAGGCCTCTTGTAAGGGTTTTCAATTCATAAAATATCTGTAGATATCAACTGATTAAATTGATAATGATTTTTCATCTGTTTAAAAATTAGTTAATATTGTATACAATGCATCTACGAAATAAGAAGTTTTTTTAATAATGTCTGCGTTTTTTGCTACGTTTTGACCAATTATAATCTACTAGATTTAAATTTAAATGCATGGGCTGGCGAAAGAGTGAATGTGATAAAATATAAAAGAAGTTGATTTACTCCAAATCAAGACCTTTGCTAATATCATTATAGTAGGTATAATCCACCTGTTGTCAATAAGTATACGTATATATAGTTACCTCAATGTGTAGTCAGTCCCTCCCATTTTTAATGTTACATAATTATATTATTTTAGGAACATGTGAATAAATATTTTTGAAATATTTGGGAATCAAAATTTTCTGTATTTATTGTTTTTTGTTATTGAAAATAACGATTTAAATAAAAAAAAAAAAAAAATGTATGAAAAACGTTAAAAATATTTTTTTTTGCATATTGGTTATGTGACAATCTTATTTTTCTATAAAATATATTTGGTTAAATAGTCTTCTGTCCTTGTTATTTATTTGTTCATTGTAATATTTTTCGTTGAATTACGATGATGGTATTGGAAAATTTGGATATTTGACTCAAGTATTTTTATTCTTTGAAGTTGAGTAACTTTGTTAATAGTAAACTAATGAGGTATTAAAAAATGTTAATTTTTTTGAGTTTATATGATATACCTTTTTATGTAAAATTCCAGAGGTAAGTAAAAATATGTTTTTATTGTCTTTAACAAAGTTTTTCAGCTTTTACGCACGATTAGTTTTTTGTTTTGTTAAAGCATGGAATTTATTTTGTTGGTTTTTTAGAAAGATTTTGATTCTTAAATCATTATATTTTTCAATATTAATTGGAACCTAGATTGATTAAAATGTTAAAAAAATATCCAGTATTGTTTCTAGATGATACACAGAATGTATCAACCTCTTTATACCGGTTACAGTTTATTAGCACGCTTTATAGTAAACTCATTTTATCTTATTTTAGCTCATTAAGGGTTGAGTTCAAAGGAGTTTCTCAAAATTTAAAATGGACGAAATGTTATATAAAATTTATATCCAGAAATCCAACCCCCTGGAGCCCCCTATTTTTTTTTTAAATAGCAAATATGGTGAAGTAACACATTATTTGAAAAGTAATGATATGGAGAATTCGGCAATATGACAATTCGTTGCGCTACTTTTTATTTTAGCGTCGTCTAGCGGGATAAGAAATTGATACATATTGTAGTGGTTGACTTCATTTTAAATCTAATTTTATTAGTGAATTTAATGTATAATATAACAAAACATAATTTAATGAAACGTGAACTTAAATAATTGAAAAGTCGTGCAGATCTTTAACGTTAAGAAATACATACTTTAATCGCAACCACCTAAAATAAATTTATGCTTCGCATGAGCTTTCAAATGAAGCATCACACTTTACTGTACGTAATAGTTTTTTAACACGCTAGAAGACCCTAAAATAAAAATATTGTTGAATTCTCCTCTCAAATGATGTGTTACTTGACCATACTTCCTACTTAAAACAAAATAGGGGTTGGTGTCGGGTCCATGTGGTTGGATTTCCGGTCATGAATTTTATATGACAATAATTCGTTCCCTTGCCAATACAGGTTGACGTTTTTTTTTTAAGTTTTGAAAAACTCCATTGTTTTTATATTCTGGGGGTCAAGTTATCGTTGGTACACCTTGTATAAAAAAAAATGATCTTATTACACCTTTACATGTTTTTTCGCAAATTGAATACAAAAATAAGAATGTTTATATTATGTTCCCCTATTTTAACGGATTATAATTTTTTAACAACAATATTGTCAAAAAATCGCATTCTTGTTCTAAAGTGATCGAAACACATGAAAAATTCAAAATTCGATGTATCCAAACAAAACGTGCTAATTTAAAACATTTCAGCGTAAGTTATAATCTACTAAAATTGGGGAAATATAATGGAACGCCCAGTATTTATTGACTTCAATATTCATAGGTTTATATTTCTTTTAATTAGATATTTCAATAAATGATTATAGATTCATATTGTTGCAATTAAATATCAAGTTTATACTTTTAGCCTCGTAATAATAGGTTCAATTTCAATGTGCCAAAAATTCCATTAAAACAAAAAAATTTCTGAACAATGAGCGATCATTTATTTTTCTGACCATAGTAGAATTTTATACAAATAAATAAAAGTTGCTTGGTAATATCGGTACAGTTTTCACTTCATATATTTCGAATATACACTACGTTTTTAAAATATAAAATGTTTTCTTATTTTTAAAAATTTTATTTATTGACTGCACCAAAAGGTGGAAAAAAATCCGAAACATATGTTTTAAATATAAACTGTGACCGATATTACCAAGGAAATTTTATTTATTTGTATAAAAAATGTTTCTTGTCCATAAAACACAAATTTAAGATTGAATTTAAATTGAAAAAAAAAATATAGTAAGAGGTCGTATTTAATCCAAAATATTTATGTTGAATTGAAAAATATAATCATTAAATAAGTTATTAATAGCGTCAAATATATATTATAACTGGTTTTATTTTGGTACAAATAAAATAATATTCACTTCCGATGGAAAAATTTCCTGCTTTTTCTTATCAAGCCGAACATTTGACTCGTCTGAGCTCTTCATTATTTATTCTTTAGCAATGCGAAGCACAAACCCATCCCTCTCGTCAGTGAGTTACCGTTACGAACCAGGTCGATACTCTAGTCTTAGTCCTCTCAGAGGTCCCACAGTAACATCGGTCAGCGATGTCTGCGACAAAACCGTGGTCAGAATCCGAAGGACCGGCTTACAACAGGAAAGGATCCGAGTGGTGTGCACCACCAGAAGGCAGCATGTTAGCAGAATGGTCACTGTATCGGACATGTGTCATACGTTGCCGTCATTACGCAAACATGTCACTGTTATAAGGTTTGATTTATGTATTTTTGTATTATTTAAAATAGACTAATAAATTAGGTATAAATGGGTAGCGTGAATAAAAATTAAGTAATTGCTTTTACTTAAAAATGAGGAACAAGTAGTGCTCTTATATTTAAAAAAATAAAATGTTTGGACCTTAATTAAAGTTATTAGTCTATATCAAATAGGTAATTCGTGTTCCGCAATTCTAGCTAAAAAATTGATTTATTGGAAAGTAAGCACGATTTGTTACCAATTTTTAAGTAAAAGCAAGTGCTTAATTTTTATCAACACTACCCAATATCTACCGTAGCAATCGGTTTAAATTATTTGATTACCATTGTAAAATCACAAATTGTATTTAAGGACGTGGTTTCCTTGCGTATAAAAATTGTATATGTACACCAAAAGATAAATTGACTGATTTTCTAATATTATGTAGTATTTAAAAATATCATTCATTTAGTTCTGTCCAGTAAATCTACTTACCTTATACTCATTTGCGGCCGGTAAATGGAACATAACAGTATCACATACCGTAATGTGTTGCTTAGCTACCTTGTTTTGATTTTAGAAACAATTACTTTTTATGAAATAAACTGAATTTAGCTCAAAGCCGAATATCACATAAAATACAACGACCGTTTCCCCTTCAGAAAAACAACTACTCCTTTGGCTAATACCACAACATGCATTGAATTACATAATTATATTCACGGAAGTAAGAAAATTTTACATTTTTATGGGATATCTCGGTTTAAATAGTTTCAAAATAAAATTTTGACGCATTTAAAATCTTCCCAAATTAAGTACATTGATATAAAAATGAATCAAATAATATAATTTTGTCTTCACACAGGTGATAATCCCAAATTTCTCTTCGACAAGGAAAAAACACCACCTTGAACTTCAGATTTTTACTGGCCAGTAATACAGGTCAAATATATTCACCCATATGCACCATCAATAAAACTTTTTGCACCCCCTCCCTTAAGTAGTTACAGGAATTTTTTTACCTTGAAGTTATCCCCCAATGTTTTGGCAAAAAAATATTGTTCTGGTATACAATCATACAATCCTGATGCACTCATATGCACCACCAATATTTTTTTGCACCCCTCCCTTTAATATTTAGTTACAACAATTTTTAACCGTGATGTTAGCCCACCCCAATGATGTTTTCGCAAAAAAAATGCAACGATATGCACTCCTTAGTAGTTACAGCCGTTTCTTTACTCTGAAGTTAACCCCTCCCAATGATATTTGAGCAAAAAAAAATTGCACCGATATGTATTTATCATTTAGTAATATTTAGGTCTTAATACTAGGCTCCGCCCTTCAGTTGTAATTTTTTATACCTCGTAAACCATCGACGCCCCGCGATCTTTCTATTTTGTAATGTAAATTTTCCTCTTGTTATTTTCTTTCTGTTGAATATGAAGTAAGGAATTAATTCGAGTAATTCAAATTCCAAGTTCACATAATAGCAAACAGTTCAGGGTTTTCTCATGAAAAAATGACTGTTCAAATCACATGATTCATTGTAATAATTACATACTTATTTTATTTTAAAAAAATCGTTTCTTTTATGTCAAGGTGTTAAGCTACGAGACGAGTAGGTACTTAATAGATTTGTTTCTGCAGGTTAGTTACCAACGGTTTGAAAACTGCTTCCAGTACGCATGAACGAACGCTTGTGTACAGTTTGTAAACGGTTCGAATTTTGATTTCTGCAAGATCACAATTTTATTTTTTTAACGATTTTATCCGAATAGTCACGATTTATCTCTGTATTTGTAAACATTAACGTAACCTTAAAACATAATCAAGCTATGAAAACAAACCATTTTGGAGATATGAGAGTTTAATTTTCATAATTTCGGGAATTGGGAATTTTTCATTTTAATATTTCCAAAATTGCATTTCAGTTTTCCGGATGATCTCAACCGATTATCTCACTTCACTTTTCTTTCATTATATTTTCACGTTTACAACTTACCGTACTCCAAAACTTAACACTGGTGAACGAATAAAGGATCTTAGAAATTTGTTCTAGTATAATCATATCGTATCAAACAGTTGCGGCTTGTGGTAATTTAAAATGGGTGTTCACTTTTTCCAATAATTTTATCATAATATGTAAGTTCGGATCAAAATTTTTACAAGAGTCAATATCGCTGTTTTTTTTATTATTTGAGTTTGTATTAAGTGTAGTTATTATTATCAACATCATACTGTTTTCAAGAACTACAACTATTAATAAATGAATATTTTAGTTAGTGTGATATTTGTTTGGTTTTTAATACGTTGAAAACCATCTATAAACATTATTAGTTAGTAAACTGACTGTTCTTCATAATTTGAGATTATTTTTAAATATATATCAGGTTATGTAGAAAGCTTGACATTGATTTTTGTGTAAAAAATTTTATATAAAACTTTACCTACCATTTTTTAGTTTTTATTGTAAGTTTAATCATTTTCACAATTTGTCACAAATGTCAAATAAAAAATATATTTTTTAAATACCTTTATTGGCAAATAAAATAAGAACTAAGATGTTTTAAATGTTTATTTTATAAGATCAGTCCCATCACAATACATAATATTACACAGACAAAAACTAGAATAAAGATATACAGGGTGTTTCAAAAAGATTGGTCATAAATTATACCACGTATTCTTGGGTCAAAAATAGGTCGATTAAACCGTACTTACCTATATACAAAAGTGCACCCAAAAATAGTTACAGGGTGTATAAGATAAAAATTTAAATGAATTTTTTTAACGTTGCTCTTAAACCGTCTGACATTTTTTCATGAAATTTTATATGACGTGTAGGAATACCATGACTAACAAAATCGAGGTAGAGGCAATATATTTATTTTTATTTTTGTTGGATTTTGAGGGTGTCACCGCCCCTTTCTCTACTCAACTTTTTTGTAATATAAAATTTTATTAAAAATCGAACGCTACTAAAATGCAACATCTATTTGGAAACTTTTTTGTCTCATAGTATTTGTTTGTAAAATGTTTGGTTTAGACGATACAGCCACTTAAAATGACATCTTAAAAATATTCAATGTAAATTATTATACGTATGCAAAATATCAAAATTCGATTTTCATTATTAAAACTATGTAGTAAGTGTATACAGGAGGAGAATGTAATTTTGAACACCTGTTAAATTAATTTTTTTTATTTTGATGACATTAATTTGTAATTTAAAAATAAACTTGATTTTGATATTTTTCATACGTAGAATTTCCATTGAATATTTTTAAGTTGTCATTTCAAATAGCTATATCGTCTAAACTAAACTTTTTACAAACAAATACTAAGAGACAAAAAAGTTTCCAAATGGGTGTTGCATTCCAGTGGCGTTTCATTTGTAATTACATTTTATACTACAAAAAAGGTGAGTGGAGAAAAGAGCAGTGACCCCCTCCATAAATCTATAAAAATCAAGAAAAAAATATTGCCTCTCCCTCGGTATTAATAGTCATGGTATTCTAACACGTCATATAAAATTTCATGAAAAAATGCCAAACGGTTTAAGAGCAACGTTAAAAAAATTCATTTAAATTTTTATCTTATACTATAACTATTTTTGGGTGCACTTTTGTATATAGGTAAATACGGTTTAATCGACCTATTTTTGACCCAAAAATATGTGGTATAATTTATGACCAATCTGTTTAAAACACCCTGTATAATACCTGGCATTTTAAATGATACTCTTCGCAGTTTAACAGACCCCCTTAACCCTCATTTTTAAGCAGATTGTTTTCACAGTCAATAGGCCTCATCTCCTTATAGACCTTGATTTTTACTAAAAATTTCATGTTGATATCGCTTTTCATTTTTGATTTTTTTTTATTTCAACCCCCCTTAAATCCCCCATATTTAATCAGGTATTTTTTTTATATTGAAAGGGCTTCTTCTCCTTTTAGAGATTGATGTTTCAGTTAGGATTTTTTTTTTATATTTTAACTCCCCAATATATTCATATTTTTTTCAGTATCAATAGGCTTTATCTTCTTATAAAGCTTCATTTTTACTAAAAATTTCATATTGATATTACGTTTCGTTTTTAATTTAGGATTTTTTTTTAATTTCAACCCATCTTAACCCCCTATTTTTTCAGATTTGTTAAAAATCATTAGGCTTTGTCCCCTTATAGAGCTTGATTTTTGCTTAAAATTAACAAGTTCATATCATTTCTCGTTTTTGACTTATCGTGCAGACAAAAACGTGACATCGGACAGACAGACAAAGTAAACCTATAATACTCTTCACATAATATTGTATGAAGAGTAAAAAAAAATATATAAGGTAAAATAAACAATTTAAAAAGTTCAACAATAATATTCAACTTTGTAACCTATTTTTTTCTTTTGACAAAGAGTTTAGGTTATATACAGCACAGCAGCTCTACCGTCGGTGGCATAAAGGTGTTAGTAAGGATTTGTTGTCTTAAAATTTAATTATTTTAAATTGTCTTTAGATACACTTAAATAAAATACAAAAAATAGTATTTAAACCATAGATGGACGCCACTGAATTTTTTATAGATTAAAAAATTTGATATTATTTGATGAAGAAGTTTTTAAAATCTAAAGGTAAATTCAGAAACCATAGTAAATAAAATTTAAATAACTACACCATAAATACATGAATCTGCAAATAGACACTTGTAGAGATGATCATGATATTCTGTGAAATAAAAGTCATACATAATTTAAATTGAATTTAATAGAAAAATAAATAAAAGAGATATATTAACAATATTTTTTCAATTTGTTCGATGAGCATTAAATTATACAAACGTTCTTTGCTCAAAAGAGAAATAATGATATATTAACAATATTTACCCAATTCATTTGATGAATCAAACTCTAAAAGTAATAAAATGGAAGTATTTTCTGAATCCACTTATCAACATTTAAATTTATAAACGGTAGAAACAATATAATTGAAAATACTCAATTCAGTTAAATTTATAGTCA